CCGACAGCGGCGGGAAGCCGTAGTTGCCCCAAGTGGCCGTGCAGACGGTCCACAGGCTGACCCTCCAGTGCACGCCGCAGGCGTCCGTCCAGCAGTTCTGGGTACTCAGCGGCCTGTGGGCGGGAGGGAGGGAAGGAGGCACAACCCATCATCATGCTGCCCAGGGAGCAAGCACATGTCACTCTGAAGTGCGACACCAGAGGTCCATTGAAAAGATGCAGTGAGTGAAGTGGTGACCGGTGAGACCTAGAAGGGCTTTGCAACTTTTTTATGGCTTTAACACCAATGGGAACAAAACCAACTATCTGAAACTCTTCTTTTCCCTTCAACATACCCTCACAGAAGATGCATGAGCACACTTGATTCACATCTATTTGTCACACAGATAATGAAAATATATAAGTGGGCCCCAATGAGCTAATTGTATTTCTTTTCAATCATGATCAAGAATAATTTACATACTTAAGTCTCATGGAAAGTAAATATGTCTTTAATATGTTGACAGTGGAGTTTGTCTTCAGCAAAAACAGAAGCTATGGAACCCCTTTTTTTCCCCAGCTAGAGCTTGTGTTTAAATCAGAGAGAAGGAGACCTACAGTTTAAGAAGAGCTAGCACAGCCTTTGAGTCAGAATTTGGTATGCCTAGAAGACTTTACAGTTGCTGGCCAACTAGTATTTTTTTCTGGGGCTCATAAAAACAAATAATGAAGCCTGAGCTTAAGCCTTGTGAGATTTGTACCATGTAGCTCTACAGGTTGCAGCACGAACTCTTTGTTACATAGGGGAAACCCAGAAGTTGTCAGCTAATTTACTAGTCCATTCAACATCTCTGGAAAGAGCAGTGGTTCCAGACATAAGAGATTCCTGTCGTACCTTGGCAAGGTACTGCATTGATCAGATGACACAGAAGTCCCATCTTTGGTCTGGCAAAATACCTGTCTGTGCTGTACAGCAAGTCGTGGTCCAATGCAAGGCCCGTTACACTGTGAACACAAAATAAATCACTTAAGGGAGGTAAAAGGCAGGACGTGTTCTTTTACAGAGCTGCTGGAGAAACAAAGTGCATACTGCCACGAAGTGACTATTGCACTTTTGAGCACTTGCTGCAGCTTTACAGGCCTAGAAGGCTGAGTATGCAACCATCTGCTGCCTCGACTCTCTCTGCTCCTGCAGCATTAAAACTGCATTTCTATACCTGCTCTGTAGATTTACTACCTCTCTTCTTTGATAATTCAACCTTAAATACATCCAAAAGGCAAATAATGTGCTCTCATGTCATTAGTGGAAAGCTTATGATCCATGTAGGAAATTTCAATACATTCCTTTTACTGCGTGTTTTGCAGCTTGTACTATAATGATTTATAGGTAAATAGTTAATAACCAAGGACACATTCAACCAAGAACATATTACACTCCATTTAATAATTTAAAAGCATTGCAAGACAATAAACAAAAGCAGCAAGCATGATGAACACAGCAGATCTGCAAGCTTGGTTTATCTTAGGATAAATCAAGATTTAGGTTATCCTAAACTATTCAAGTTTATCAATCCCCTGCTTACTCTCTAACTCTTCTAATCCTCTCCTTTGAGTAAATAATAATTAGCTATAGGTATGAAGCATGTATTTATGTTGTTTTAAAATGATCCCACTAGGAAACAGTTCGTTTTTCTAAGTATCTAGAAATTATAAACAGACAGAATGAGGGTTGAAGAAAGGGACCTTAGTATAAGGGAAGAATTTTACCCAGAAAAGGGCTGTGGACTAATCCCTCTGCCCTCTCCACGCACACCCCCTCCCCTGCCCCCATCAGCAGGAGCCCTGTGTCACACTACCGTGCATGCCTCACATCATATTCACTTCCCACTGCTTCTTCTTCCCTCCCTGCCAACGGTGAGAGAGAAGCAGTGGCTGCCAAGTTTCCAGTTGCTCCCAGTCAACCTCCTCATTGAGCAAAATGGATGTAAATGTTGTTTGTGGTAGTATCTGGAGCACTTCTATGGTGTCTGCAGGAGCTAGCAGTCCTCACCAGCAGCAAGCCTGAGTCACTAGTTTTAAAACACTATGGGATTACATAGTAGAGATCAAAATGCCACTAACATTAAATGAAGGAAAGTAATTAATTCTAGAGGTGGGGTTAGAGTTGGTGGTCTGTTTATCTTCTCTGTGTGTTAGGAAAGTTGGTCACTATACCTTGGCAACAGGGACCTGATACCTCATGATACTACTGAGAAGGTCACCAAGACACTGAGCCAGTGATATGTTCCTAACTGTAATTAGGTAACAGTCTTCTGGCTTGCAGTCTGAGCTGTATAGAATAATATGGGAATCAGATATTTATCTAAGCTAGGCAGAAGAAATATTGTGTTATAATACACAGAGGTTAGGTCTAACAAATTAATTCAGACTTCTTTTATTGTCTCAGCTGACTGTGATGTAATGAAGGACAATATAGCCCATAGTGATCCCCAAAATAAGGATGAGGTAATTGGCTTTTTGCAAGGATAATCCAGTTCTTATCTTGAATTCCACAAGCAGTGAAAACTCACTTCTTTCACACAGAAGGATGGTTCCAAGCTTTATTCATCACCTTTCTTGAGAGAAGCTTCCAAATATACAGGCAAGAGGTAAATGAAGTTGTTTTCAAGTATTGAACAATAACAAGTTCTAGTGGCTGAAGACATTTTTTACTACCAACATCATAAAAAAAAATCTGATGCAGTGCAATGTCAAGACTAATAGTTACTACTCTGCATCATTATTTTCTTAGCCTCTTCTTGCATGATTAGAAGCCATGTTTTTTTACCTTTAGCTGGATCTTCATTTCAATTAGATGTATGACTACTCTGGTTTTGCCAAATGACTTTTTCTTTTTGCCTTTGAAAATGTTTATTTCACCAGAAGCGATGTTAAAGTATTATTGGTATTTGGCTTTAGCCCCTAGCACAATTGGTTTCTGTGGTTTTAATCCCATTTCCCATTCACCCTGGGATGTTATACCTCCATGTGAATCACAGCTCTGGAAGTCTTTGAGCTAAAATCTGTGAGTCTTTATCCCTAAGTGTGGACTGTAGTGGACTCATCCACCTTCACATAAGACTCATTCAAGCTAAAGTGGAGAGAAAATGGAGGAAGGTACATAGTAATGACTGGTCTCATGGTCTCAGATTATAATTTACTTCATATTGAGAAGAACCTTTTCAGGGCTACATACTGAGAAGAACCTTTTCAAGAAATCTCATAGCTCACAGAAAGACAATGTAAAAACTCCTCTGTGGATTCCTACAACAAAGCAATTTAATTCTAAATACTTGCAACATTTGATATTCGTGGAGTAAAGCTTTCAGCATCTGATCTTTTTGTGAAACTACAAGGAGAGAATTTGAAGATCTGGAAAACACCATGAAATAGTCTGAAAATGGTTTCAGCCCTCTATTCTGCTTTTCATCATGAAACAGATCAAGACAGCTCCCACTTTTTGGTGTTCTAAGGCAATATTAGCAACTTTGTAAAACTTGGATATTGTACAACCCCCTGTCCCAAACATCACAATCATTGGTCCTGATTCCTATTGGCCAAAACTGGAACACATGCTCTGGGTGGTAAGGGGAATTAAGACTTGGAGAAGGCCATTTCCCAGATGTGTCACCTGTCACTATGAAGAGGAACTGCAGAGTTTTCCATGGGGATGATATAGGGGTCTTCAGTAAAAAGTTCTGTTCACAGGTAGCATTTCTAGGGGACTGTGGGAAGCTACAGAAATCCAAGCATGTTGTGCTTCAGATATGGATTTGAAAGAGCTGGGCAAAGTAGTTGCCTCCTCAAAAGCCTACAGACTAGAATTTACAGATATGAGGATGCAAAATCAGTCGGCTCATTTTCTGTCACTTTTTCCTAGCCCACACTATAAGGCTGTCCTTGGATTGATGGCTTCTTCCTTACCTGGCCCCAGGAGGAGGCCATCCACTCAACACAGGGCTGCCTGTTACAGGTCTGTGTGTCCACAGGGCGCTTGGACACCTGGACACATGCCTCATTTGACACTGGGACAGAGCTGCCTTTTGCTGTTAGCCGCTGACATGTCACTCGCCGCATCTGGATGCCTCCACCACAGCTCTGTGTGCAAGGAGACCATGACGTTACCATCCATCTGTGAGAGGAAGGTGGACAAGTGAGGGAACAGATACATGCCACCACATGCAAGATTACTGGTGTCAACAGGTCTTTATGCATCAGACCAAAGAAAGGCAACAAAGGTTTGGTTGATTTAGGGTGTGATCCTGGAAGGTGTTGAGTGCCTCAGCCTCCCATAGTAGTCACTGAAAAGTGCTCAGAGGATGAAAGCTGAGAAAACATGACTTTTTTTTTTTTTTCATTAAATTATCTTTCTCAAGGCCTCTAGGGCTCAAAAATAACGTTCTAGCCTTTCAGGCTGTTTTTAGAGGTTTAGTAAATATTTCTAGCCCCGGCACAGGGGTTGGGGCTTGCACTGCTGTGCCATGGAGACCTTGGTCACAGGCTACAGTCATAATACCAGCAATGACTTGCCTATTTACACCCCTTAGGAGGGAAAATTGTCTCAGTAAAGCTCCTGGAGTAGCTTACAAGCCACTTTGAACTTGCTGCTAACAAAATAACCCAAATCCTCATGGGTCCTACTCTGTTATGCCCCTGACAGGTAGGATAATCCAGAAGAGCCCAAAGGCTGTTCAGGGATGGGGCTGGTATGTAGAAGCCCAGGGACAAGCGACACCTTTCTTCTTTCCTCGTGAGCTCAGACCATGCGTTTTTCAGCTGAGGCTGAGGCTCTGAACCCTTGTATGCTGGGGTTTAAAAATTCCAGTCTAACTACCAAAAACTTTGTAAGACCAGAACATAATAGTCCAGGTCCAGACTCCTAACAAGATGGACAACATATTTTGTCTCTTTAAGGATCATTAAGTGAAACATTCATACAGTCAGGTATGGGAAGGAGGTAGGTAGGAACAGGAAGTATGCAACTGATTACTAGTTTTCTGGAGCTTTCTGGTCAAGTCAGCAGTTTGCTTCATCAAGTTTCAGGATAGTCAGCAGGTTTTGTGTGTTATTGGGAGAAAAATGGTGCCTATCATGTCCCTCACCAGCAATGTTTAACTTTGCAAAATAGGCTATAGGGGTTCACCAGCCACATGGAGAGGCATCTGTTGCTATTCGTCCATCTTCTGCAGGTGATTAACTCCCATGGTCACAGAAACAAGTATATAAAGAAACACACTTGTACTATGGAAAACAAAACCACTGATATTATCTTTTCAAGCAATTTGGTGAGTTTGAATCTGAAGTTTCCACCCCTTTAGAATCATAGAATCACATGGCTGGAAAGAACCTGCAGGATCATGAAGTCCAACCTTCCTCCCAACATTTCCCTAACCTCTATACCATAGCCTCAAGTGTCACATCCACTGTTTATTTTTATAAAGCTTTCCTCTGCATTTATATCAACTTTTATTTCCAAGCTTACATCTTGGCAGTTTCTCAGGAGCTGAGGGAGGATTGTGGGTGGTGTTATAGTTCAGAGAAGGCATAAAAAGACATAAGCCATTCCCATGGAACTGGGAATCACCTAGGAAAAGAGTTGCTAATAAGTGTGTTTCATATTTCATCAAATCTCTTTTGATTTCCTTCTTATGACTCAGCTGGCAACTCAGAAAGAACTTGCCTACAAAGAGGGACAGGAATATATTTTAAAAGGTTATTAAACAGAACTCTCTTTCTACTATGTACTGTTGATATTTTGCACAAATCTTGCTACAAATTCTCAGCTGTCTCGGTTAAGCACTCATAAATTGCCTCTTAGCCATGACTTTTCTCCAGAGAGGCACCAGAAAGTCTGCAATGGCACAACATCCAGTGCAAAGAACTCTCTAAGTACTTCTTAAAAGCATGTATGACATTTTAACACGAGCCAGACAAACCGTGAGGGGCAGTCTCTCCTGTTGCATGCGACAGGCTGCAGGGCTGGCTTGGGCTTCTCTTTGCAGTGGGTTATGTTGACTTCAACCCCATCCAGTAAGCACCTTAACTGGGGCAGCTGCACCCCTTTGTGGCCACAGGAAGCTGAGCAAGCCATCAGCTTGTCCACTGACCACTGGTATTCTGCCAAAAAGTTTGAAAGAGACATGTTAACACTCAAAAACTGCCAGCAGAAGACTCTTAAAAAGGGAAGAGTCAGAGATGTTGTCCCGGTTGAAATACTTGGACCAGTGTCTCATGTGGAGGAGAGCTACTTACACCTACAGGGCACCAGGCAATGAACAAAGAAGAAACAATCACAGCTGATGTAAGCCACTGACTGTCTTTAGTGTTACAAACCAAATTTTTTGGTGCTTAGAAGCATCAGGCATGGAAAGTTAATGACATGCTAGAGCATTTAAGTGAAGCCAGATGCCAGTGATACAGGACACTGCATCTCTATTTTTAAAGTGCTGTGATTTAGTGAAGACATGGCTAACTGCAGCTACCAGCAGTATCTATGATTTAACGACCTTACAAGAATGCGCTTCTCACCAGGTAGATTATACAGATCATCCATTATGAAGATGAATGGGGGAGTTGCAATATGCTTAAAATTTTATGGCAACATTTAAGGAAAAATTAAATTCTTCTCCAATCCATCCCTGACAACCAGGGCAATGAAAACTGCATATTCTGTGCCAACCCATCCATACTGCTCTATTCTGTGGCTTTATCATGTTCAGCTTATTTCTAGCGTAAATCTAACAGTTGCAGCATTATTAGAAGTGAAGTGTTTTCAAGAAAGAGGAGACTGTGAAACACTGACTTCAGCAGTTTAACAGAGGGGTCTCTAATTTTAGGGGTTCAAACTGTGACACCTCTGTCTTGATTTTCTGGACAAGAGAATTGCCTGGACTCAACAAACCTAAGTACAGCTTGAATCAGTAAGGTGTTTTTAATGCTCAGCAGGCCTGAAATGTCAGGTGTCATTTTGGTAAAGTAAAACCCAAGACACTGTAAGGTACCTGGTGATCCTGCAAATCTATATGCATTGCAGTAAAACAGCCGAAACATCTATTTCCTGCTGCACATGACAGGTCTGGCTTCAGAGAGGAGAAATCCAGGATGAGAAAGGTAGCACAGGGAAGTACATCAGACGAGCTTCACAGAGTAGCAGGACTGAAACTAGGAAGTTACCTTGTATAGCCAGGGATGCTTTTTGTGTCAGTGAGCCAGCCTCATTCTGAGCAATGCAGCTGAATTCACCATTGGGAGCATCACTGATGTTGAGTATCTGAAGAATCTGGCCCGCTGCCAGGAGGTGATGGCGCAGACTGAGAGGCTTGCCAGAGTAGAGCCAGGTGATGTTTGGGGGTGGATGACCATCCACAGCACAACCTAAAAAACAGAAACGTAAAAGACACCTGCTGAGTACTGAACTTGCTGCAAAATTACAGGCTTTATAGTGGCCAGATTAGGGGAAAAGATAATTCCACCCCATTTTCTCCACATTTTCTTATAATGGAAAATAGAAATAGTGTGGTAATGAATTCCTTCTCATCAGCTAAAAAATAAATTATCCAAAAGCCAGTTAAGCAGGCATGTGAAAATCTCAGATCAGTTTGGAAATATTTATATCAAGCTTCTAAGTTTCCCATTATTTTGTGTCATTTCAGTATTGAGGAAAGTGGGAAAAGGAGATTGGACACCTAGCATTAGCGCAAGGAGCATGCTTGAACAAGCAGTATACTCATAACCAGCCAAAAACAGCAACTGAAAAATCCCTGCTGTTCTGAAGCACTGTATGGGTATACTTACAGACCATCAGCACAGCTCATGAGGTTTAGGTTCTCTGTGAGTTCTCTGCCTACTGAGCTGAGGGAGAGTATAGGTAATATACTATTTCCTGGGGTCCTTGTACCAGTTTCAAGATGAATTGCAGAAGATTTGTGAGACTGCTATATCCTGGGAAAGATAGCTAAGTTGCCTTATTCCCTGAGGAAAAGGAAGAACTAGGCCATTTCCATGGTGCAACCCATCCACACCAATTGCAGGGGTGGCGAGCCAGAAAAGCCATATGCAAGGGATGGCATATATTACTTGCACTGCTTGTGGCTTAGATTAGTCCTGCACTTCCACACATCTCACTGAAACATGAAAGGCCTGGCTAAGTTTCTGTGAATGCAATCTATACTGATTGTTAGTGTGCTAAACTGCAGCTTTACACTGTTTCTTTTATACTAGTATGTATGTGTAGTGAATGACTTCATTATATACAAAATCTCTTCTGAAAGAAAATAAGAGACAGAACAAACGATGTATATTGATGAACATTCATGGTAACGCTGTTCAGGAGGAATTGGGTACAAAAAGGAAGAATACAAATTTAAAATAGAAAACAATGGAAGACTGCTCTAGTATCAAGGAATAGTTCCGTCAGCTGATATTTCTTCATTTTCATCTCCATGTCATTTGATTAGTATTTATTATTCACTGAGACAAATAAGGATATGAATCTGATACCTTTGTAGCTGCATTACACAATGAACAGATGCTGCAATGTGACATTTTTGTTACTGTTCTTTTCATTGTTTTCTGTCCATCTGAGGACATCTTCAACTAACATATACTGAACAAGTACTGCTCCTGTGAAAGAGGTAAGATGACTTAAATTGCTGCAATCAAGAATTTAGTTAGACACGCATTTTTGCCTTAATAATTTATGCATATCCTACTGAGGTGCCTACCACTGCAAGAACAAAAATACAATTTTCGTTAATCTATCCAGGAAGACTAAATGGTTTGCTATCCAGCCATCATCAAGACTGAATCCTTGAGACTTGAGGAGAACATTACTTTGTTTAGGAACCCTTGCTACCCTTCTTTTAACCTTTGTCACAACCCTAAACTAACACTGAGGACTGGACTACTGTAGTCTTTACTTGTCTGTCTTCTGGCACTAATCTTCCAACTCTGCTGCTACAATGGCATAAGACACTGCTTTGCCCATGGCAGCTGTAGCTTTTTTTTTATTATTATTAATTTCCTTGTCAAAGTCTAATGCAGTTTTATCCTTGGCAGTTCTCTCCCCAGCACTCACTTCCTGACCACAAAGACACAGCTTTCTTTGCTGCTCAGCACTTTTTCCTGTTTTGGTAAGCTCTCTATTTACTTCTGCTATGCTTTGTTTCACGTTATTCATTTTGTCCTGAGTACTGATGTATTTTTTGCTACTCTTGTGCTGAAACACAACTCATCCAATTTCCAAGATGCTCATTCTCAAGAAATGAGTGACATGAAAGATTTTGGCCTCACAGGTTTGAGACTGCCTGAGTGAAAATGAATGAAAACCAAAAGAGTATACTGGATATGGACAAAGTTAACAATAAGCAGCTGCAAGACCTTTGCCTATAGTATTCTAATTTTTCTAGTTTGCCCATCTTTTAAGCTAATTACAGGAATATCGAGAGGTCAACATGTAGCCATGACAGTTGGCAGACATGTTGTGAGCTCCTTTCACTGTTTGTATTTGCAAAGTCTGCACAGAATAAATGGAGAAAGCAGAAAGGTCAGTTTGATGATAAACACAGAGGAACTGAAATTGACTTCACTATGCAAATAGTCCTCGTTTGTGCCTGTTTTTCTAAAAAAATTACTGTCAATCAAATCAATATAGTCTTCCTAGTACTGATTATTTTACTTGCTTTGTAAAATATTTCTTTTTCCAAAATACCTATGTAAAATATTGGCTAAAGGAACAGCCAGTAATCAATACTATGGGGGTAAAACCCCAAATGCTGTTCCCTGAATACATTCTGCCAGTAAGTAATTATTACATTTTTAAACATTTAACGATAAAACTTTACAAACACCTATGAGACTCATGTGTAAAGAATACTCCTCATTTGTGTATGCAGAACACAAGTCAATCACATTTCACAAGTGACATTTTGTATGCGTTTCCCACAGGTATGGATGCGTAAGCTGTGGGATAATGTTTTATGCATTTTAAGTGGGGAACCAGAGTACAATAACAAAACATGTTCCATTAATTCCTTTTCTCATCTCCCAGGAATATTTTCAATATCATTTAACACAGATTACCAACACCTACTCTCTACTTCATCCCATCCCTATGGACATTGACTGTTTTACCAGTCCAAAGCTCAACACTTGTCTCTGTAGCATCTGAGAAGGAAAAAATGGCTTTGTTTCCAGACAGTACAGCTATTGTATAACTTTACTGCATCAGAACCCTCAGGAAGGCAAGGAGGAAATATTTTTTTGAGACTGTTTCGGAGCAGTGAAAGCTGGCATTAGAGAGCCCTTCTCCTTCAGTCCTTTGTATGCAGACAAAGAATATTCTGCCTTCATCATCCCCTCCCAAATTCTCCTTTGACTCTGAATTCATTCAAAGCCAGGATGAGTCACAAATGTGCAAAAGCTGGAGATGCAAACAAAAATCTAACACAAATTGCATGTTTTAGTATGGAAAATTTTAATATTTCAAGGATAACAAGGGGGTATTTGGCAAGAGAAAACCAATGTTTCATAACAATGCTAGTCATTTCTTGAGAGGAAATAATAAATGCAGAGTGCAGGCCAAATTCAGCTCCCCATTATACCTCTGCAACACTTACTGTATGACTGTAGCTGCAGAAAGACTCTGGGCTACTGTGCTAATGCTAAAACGTTTAAAATGTTTGTGCTGCATCAGTTCAAAATATTCTGAATAAACAAATAAGCAAAACAAAAGTCTGAATTTGAAAAAAAAAAGTAAGCATCCCAATTGATTAGGGACTGCATGTTTCATAGCATCAGAAAGTAAAGTGATTTGGCAGCAGACTTATTAAATATATTAGAACTGAAATAACGTGGAAAAAAAAATTGTGATACTGTATGTATTTTACTGAACTCTGACAGAGAAGTATGGCAGGCCACAATGCATTGTGTTAAAGCCATAAACATAATGCATCAACAGGATTCAAAACCTGGTAGTATTTCCACTCTAATCTCTACATCCAAACAGTTAAAGTATACTTTCAAAATAGAAATGCAATTAAGGATGGAATCAAGAAAAAAAACCTTGTAACAAAATG